ATCCCGGAACATTCCCAAACAACGAGCGCGAAGACGCCGCCTTTCATTTTCCCTTAGCATACACGAAATCTCATCTTTCCGTACGGAAATGAGAACGCGTCTGACGGGGTAGCGTCGTTCGTTTGCACGAATACACCGCCTCTCTCTCTCTCTCTCTCTCTCTCTCTCTGATTGTTCGCGCGAACGTCTCGAACAATCCGCCGAAAGTGACCGAGACATCTTCCATTGTACGTGCAAATAAGACGACGTCGGTCCTCTGCCGCGCACGGGTATGCAACACGAATCCATTTCGAAGAGGGTTGATTCGCCCCTTTTCAGTCGTGTTTGGACAGTCTTGTTAGAGATAGAAACGTTGAGATATTGTTCTCGGCAGAGGATGACGGTGAGAAGCATTCGGCGGGAAATTTCTAAAGTATTCAGAGACGAAGCTTGTCGCTATTTAGACCAATGGCGGAATTGTGTAAATTGTATTTTTCATATAATTTATTCCGTAACGTTTAGAATTCGGTGTTTTTTCGGTGAATTTCAGGCATCGTAATCTGATCGACAGGATATGGTCGCCGTAGATATTGATACAACCATCGCATGCCAGCGTGCCTTCCTCGAGCAAAAATAAATCAAACACGGTATAGCGAAGTTTTCCTATTTCAAGAGATACGCATACAGCCGTTCGTTCCTCGACGACGGAATAGTTTCACTTCACGCTATATGTACATATACCCGCGCGATGAAAACGTACATATGTATATCTCGCTCGGTACACGCCGATCTTTGTTGCCTCTTTCGAAACAGTATATTTCTGCCGGACCATGGCCGATCTATACCACTTTCTATCTATCACAATTTACTTTTCATCGCCCCCGTGACGTTATTTAATCTTCTACCCGTGATAAATTCTCGCTGAAAACTGTCCACTGTTTGGTCTGACAGCGTGTTATCGTCAAAGGTTCATTAACTGTTCTCAGTTTTGATAAATAATCTATATATTTATAGTTTAACTTTGTGTTCTTAAATGAATTCCAGCGAGTTTATTGGCTTGGAACTATCAGGCCGAAACATAAATAACGTCCATTATAGTTTTTGCAGGACAAGGAATAATTAACAAATATTATACATTCTCTATTATCGTTGATGTAATTCTCATTTATTAGTTTACCCGGGGTGGACTGACGAGAGTCATCCTGAAAATATAAACTTTCTCCCATCTATAATTTAAGTTAATGCAAATACAGATTTTCACAAAGTAATTTATAGAAGCCGAAGTCGAATAAATTCATGTGTATCTTATTAAGGATTCTATCAGGTTCCAAAACAATATAAAAACATCGCTACAAGTGACTAAACTCTTTACTACACACACACAGATTCTATAGCCGTCGTTTCGGTCTACGACGGAACACTGGCCCCGTGGCCTGAATCTTCGGTGGTCTCTCTTTCCCCCATGAATATTTACCCGTGTTTCGTTACCAGGCCGCAATTAATCCGAGGTTACCGTTTCAGCCGGCGAGCAAAAATTTCCATGGAGGCGTTATTAACTCGAGAAGCAGCCACGAGATACCGAACGGTCGCGCTCTCGCGAAGAATTTCATTAGACAGAAAATTATGCGAGGGAACGTGTGGCTCATAGTTCTCCGCAGAGATGGTGACGTGTCTTGTATATGTGGGCGTATGTGTTACCTGTCGATCGAGGAACCGTTAACACTTTGATTGCCACGTCATCGAAACATGGGTGACACGTATATTGCAAAGAGGCTGGATTGTTTAATCCTTAACAGTGAACGTACAATTAATATTTGTAGTATAATTCCAAACACGACGGTGAAAGAGACAGAGACAAGAAAAAGAAAAAATGATTTTTCAAAATGGTTTAAATAGTCGTACAATGATTATTGGTTCTTGATTTAACGAAGAAAAGGATTTTTTCTACAAGATACCAAAAAGGTTGGATCGTCGCGTTCGCGGCTCAAATTGTTCCAGATGTCGTCCTCGATCCGCTATAACCTTTAAGTCAATGGTATCATGAGAATCGCGGAGACGAGCACTGACTAATTGGCGTTCCATACGAATGAAACAATTTACCTGCCGCACCAGTGGCGCGCATTGCACGCGATTAAAAACGTGATCGAAAGTCGATACATTCGCGTGGTTGTATTCAGTGCCAACTGAACGATGGTAAAATCATGAGAATAATACAAGATTTTTCTTTCTGGGAACCACTCTATCGTCCGTTCCCTTCGATTCTTACTGGTTTATGCAGCTATCCATCGGCGCGGCCGTGTAAACGGACTGTTGACGTTGATGGGTCTTTGATGTTCGCCAGTTTTCGAACGAAGCAAAATTCTGACCGGGTAGAGAGGAAATCTGTGCGTTTAAACGTCCAAAACCGCGTTCCAATCGGCCGAGAGAAACGGAATATAGGAATTCGTTTCGAGGTTTACGCCCCACAAACGGAAATATGGTGTTCTCCTGATAGAGGGTCCTTTTTATTACCGCGTTGTTCGGTGATTGTAAACCATGAATGAAAACGCGAGTGGGCTCCTATACATATGTATAGATCATCGTAGATACAGAGTTCTCGGGGGAACGTATATGTGACGCAGACGAAGAGGAAGCTGAACGCGGTCACAAAGATAGAGAACTGTGTGTGTGTGTGTGTGTATTTGGAAGCTTCTCTTCGAAACTGGTAAACAGTCCGTCGCACACGTGGTGGAAGCTTGCGCTGCTCGGAATCGTTTAAATATGAAACAGTAAAACATTATCGAACGGTTACACGCTTGTTTGGTGGTACCACAACAAAGAGGGTTCTCGTTCGATTCTGTGCGCAGTTTATGAGAGGAGGGTTCTTTCGATCGTTAGAAACTAGGAACAACGAACAGAATGTACAGAATAGAAGTATAGAATTTCCAGCCATTCTACTTAATTGGACCGTTACTACACGAATTCCTGGGGGAAATGCGGTTCCTGTAGCGTGACCCTTAAAAGCCAAGCAAAAAAACACGCGCAAAATGGCAATTCGTTGGTCAAGGAACGGCCAGGGAAAAGAAGCTTGTCTTTTTAATGGCACCGAGCTCCGAGAATAAAAACCAGGGGAAACGTGTGTCCGTCACGGCGACGCGAGACGTAATTAGATCCTTGAATTTGTCGTCGCCAAAATCCTCGTTTACAGCTCGAGGTGCGATTAAACCGGATTAGATACGGATTAAAGAGGAATTTTGGGCAGAGAGAGAGAGAGAGAGAGATTTCTCTTGACTTGGATCTGGTAAAGCCCGAAAGGAGATTCTATAAAGCCGAAAACTGAGAGTGAAGTGAAACAATTTAACCCTTTTGTTGTTTATGTCAAGTATACTCGTCGTTGGGCAAAAACATTTGCATTTGCTATCTAAAGTAAAATTTAGGTAAAACAAAAAACATATTCGTAATTTTCACACATTTTACATTATTTTGAAACAGAAAAACCAGTGTCCAGTCTCGGTAAACGGTTAATCCATTAAAATTGATATTTCAATTGAGCGTCCACGGTCTAATTGCCATTAATTGAAGTGGAGGAACGTTTCACCGGTAACGAGGTACATATTGTACCAGCAAATTGAACATCGCTTGGGTATGAATGGAGCGAAATGTGGAATTCGGGTTTCGCTAGACGGATGGAGAATTGTTTCCAGGTAGCAGCAAGTTATTCGGAATATCTGGCTAATAATGAGTTTGAGTGTGCAAACAAGATATGCCCACCGACGAACGAGGGGAGGGATTTCTTCGCGAATCGCGGTCGGAATTCGCGATAATTCTCGATGTTCAGCAGTGCAATAAGACTCGACGGAATATTATTAGAATCAGCCTCCGTGAAATTAAATCCCATGAAAATAAGTCCTTTTCACACGGTTTCTTTCGGAGCAATCGTAAATTTCTTTCATAGTTATCGCGATGGTGGGGAAATCGATATTCCTTGCTTATTCAATCGTTTACTTCGCTGTTTAGGAACTGGATAAATTAAAACGGTTTCGTGGGAAACGCGAGCAGCCCTCGTTGCGACGCGCTATTTCCGCCATTTTGCATTTTACGGACAACTGCCCAACGAATCGAACTCGGTAAATCTAACTGCATGGATCTGTGAGCACCAGCTACGAAATTAAAACTGACACGTACACTGATATTGCGTGAAAAAAAAATACTTCTTTCCTCTAATATATTGCGATCCCAGTTGTGTGAGATCTCAAAAAGTACAGTGTGTTGTAACATCTTAATCATCGTTATAAGAATGTACTCACCAGTCATTTTGACTGTTCTGAACGTTCCAACGTTAAAGATTAAGATGACACTTCTCAATACTGCTGCGTTTTCACTACGTATCATTCGAATAGAAAGAATTCTGTGCCCAACTCTGCTAAACGGTTCTATCCTGTTACCAATAAATAACAAGAACTTGCTCAAGGTAGACCCAGTCTACGCGTCGTAGACCGTACCACCCGATTTCAATTGTTTCTCGTTTCACGTCGAAATCTCTTCCTGTTCTCCATTCGCGTACAACTTCCAACGAGGTCCTCCACAATTTCCACGACATAAGGTAATACCCCGATACTCCTCGAACTTGTTGGGGAACTCTTGAATTTTATTCACCCAGCCGCGAGATCCTCTACCTACCGAAAATCCCCTCCGAACCTTCCTTCTCCGTGCCGCGGAACCAACTGCGGAGCCAGAAGCGGTCGCGATGTGGTCTCTCCAGCCGAAACAAAAACCAGAGTTGGGCAGAGATATCTAAGAGGGTGATCCTGACCTTCGAACAGGTAATGAGATTGAACGATTGTTTTCCAGGTGTCCAATCGTACGGGAAAGAGAGTTATTTCATTAAAGAAATTGTAATGTTCACGTTTAATCCATTTTTTTTTCATCTTTTCTTTTGTCTTTTATTCGTTATTCGAGACTTTTTATCTAGACAACGAATTTTCCCATCTCTGACAACAACCCACCCCTAACCACCACCTCTTCTCTACTTTCTGTTGCAGGATACTGGCCGCTTGGAGTGCTCTGGTGCAACGTGTACGTGACCTGCGACGTGCTTGCGTGTTCAGCGAGCATAATGCACATGTGCTTCATCTCGCTGGGACGTTATTTGGGCATACGGAACCCCCTGCGTACCAGACACACGTCCACCAAACGTATGGTCGGCTTCAAGATCGCGGCGGTCTGGCTTCTCGCGATGCTGGTCTCCAGTTCCATTACGGTATTAGGTAAACTGGACCACCCTCCCAAAAACCCCTGGAACAAACTCCTCGTCCTATCGTTCTATAAAATTCACTGTAAACCACGGTTTCCGAATAAGGGAAAACCGACGTAAGGGTAGGAACAGGAGCCTCTTACCACTTGGTATATTTTGTTACCGAAGTAAATATTAAACCGAATGTTAATTTTGCATAAATTTTAGGAACTCTCGATACCAAGTTGTATCGGAGGCCCGCCCCCTACGGCACTTTTTTCCGTAGTCGAAGCAGAGTTTACTCGTGAGGGTTACACCCGGTCATACGAAACGTTTTCGTGATTTTTTGCAAATTGTTTTTTTTCCTTCCCGGTGCATTTGTCAGCGACAAAAATTTGTTAGTAATACTTGCAATAACATGAGCGGAGAGAGCCCGATGAAATCCGTTCGTGTGTTGCTTTGCGATTTTCTGCGTGTCTCGTTCTATCCTCTTCTAATCATCTATCTTTCCTTGTCGAACGCTATCGTTTTCTCCTTTTCTGGCACATCTCCTCTCTTTGTCTCGAAATAGTTTCATCGTCATTCTGTGATCCTGGTAAAACGAGTCTCTTAGCAACAGGAGAACATAGCTATAGTTGGTGGCACGCTCTCTCTGTCGCCCTCTTTGTATTTCTGTACTCCTGGCAGTGACGTCACGTATTAGGAACACATAACCAAAGTTACTGGCTCGATTGTGTATCCTTCTTGCAGGATCATACTCTTCTTATCTAACATCTCCTATCTTATCATGTGTTCCTGGTAATACACTGTGAATTTATCGGTAAAATATAACTAAAGTCAGTTGCATAAACCATTAATGAACAGAAAACTGAGGTTATATACATATACAATATATAATATAAATAATCGCACATCGAAAGCAGAATAACTATTAAATGGTGGACGGAATATCAACAAAAAGTATTTTTCTTAATTTTGAAAGATGCATTCTTCCATGTGCAATTCCAAAAGTCTCCCAATTCATTGTCATAAATTATGAAATTAATGTATAATTTATAGATTAAAATGTACATTGCGCTGAATTATGTAATATTTACTGAAGTTGTTGACAATTATTATTTATTACATGACAGACTGTGTGCAAACTTCATACATAAATGTTGCTCAATTTCTGTACTATCGGATTTAATTATAAAAGTATATTAATTAATAGTAGAAATTATTCAAGATACGTATACAATAGTTAGTAACTATTTATGCATGACCAGAATGTTTGCAAAATCTACATGTGAAAATTGCTAATGATTCTTTCTATAAGATTCAACTGTAAAAGTTTATAAATTGAACCGATTAAGGCAGGAATTTATGAATTTTCCAGTAAATTCTAGTCTGTATGAAAATAGCGGGAAATTACTACATACATATGTATCTTCGATGAAGATTGTCCATGTCGCTTTAATAATTTTCTATCCTTATCTAATACCTCCACCATTATTCTGTGATCCTAGTAGAACGAGTCTAAAAGTAACAGGAGCTTATAATCAATGATAATGGCACAGAATGTTCTATCCTTCTCGGAAAGTAATTCTATCCTTGTTTTCTACTTCTATGCATTATGTACTCCTGGTCGTGACGTCACGTATTCGGATCACATAACCAAACATAGTCCACTACATATATATATATATATAGTCGTAGTATCGTCTATCCTTGTCGCACAATCAACCCTCCTTGTTTCAAAGCTCCTTCTACATCATGTGATCCTGGTATCAAAAGACGAAATTTGACGAAATTGCATAGCAGTGTCTCGAGGTTTGGAATACCGTGACGAACTCAGTTTCTGATCAGTTCAGTATACATTAGTTAAAGATACCATATAACAAGTTTATTGTAATGAAAATTTTTTCCAAAAAAATCGCAAAATAATTACCAACAATTTTGAAATTTATAAGTTCAAACCTCTTAAAAATGAAAACCTTTACTGTACCGAATCTTGGTAACTGATAACTATTTACACCGAATTTACATGGTAACAAAAGCCACTAAAGGTTAATATTAAAAGGTTTATGTGTTCAACTGCTATCCTAAATATTTTGCATTCCAAGTGCAATCCTAATAATGTAATATCTACAGATAACTCGATAAACAATTATACAAGATAACCGTTGGCGGAAGCTAACTTGCAGATCATCGAACCTATCAATCCAGCCTAGGAATCCAGCCCAATGATAGACACGTCTTGGTTCTCCACTTTTGATCCAGGTGTAATCAATTCCGTGAACATCATGCCACGGCCGAGTACGTGCGTGATAAACAACAGGGCGTTTTTCGTGTTCGGCTCGTTGGTCGCGTTCTACGTGCCAATGATCGTGATGGTGGCCACGTACGTGCTGACGGTGCCTCTGCTCAGGCAACAGGCCCGTTTCGTCGCGGAACACCCGGAGAGGGACCAGTTCCGCAGACTCGGGGGCAGATACTCGTCGACGAAAGCGTCCACGACAACGTCGAGCACCGCGTCCCTGACCACGCGGCACGCCTGGAGAATTTCCGGTGGTACCGGAAGCGACAGGTAACCTCAAAAGAGACAATTCCTCCGAATCTGAACGGTCTTCTTCGACCACGACGATATGTTCATCGTTTAGAATTCTAGAACATTAGCGTTCTTCGTCACCGACGGATGCAATCTCACGTCCGTCGAGGATAATGTTCACGCTACCCAGAAACGCGCGATAATGGAATTAAAAATTTCGTTCGTCGATCGTGCAACTCGCTGATGGCTCGAGCGTACCCCCGAAATTGATACGGAGGACACCGGCGATTAAATCAGCAGAAAATAGGAAGAAAAATGTCGACGGAACGTGACCCGGGGATGGGATGCTCTCGCGAAATTGTATTTCCGCCCAGCCGGAATTCGAATCTAGGTACTCGACGCGCGGAGAACGAAGTCATAGCGGCTGCAATCGCTTCGATAACTCGATAATAAATAAATATTGACTGTGTCCTAAAAAGCTCGAAATATGCCGGGTATGTAGTTCGACAGAAATGGATTTTCAATACGGCTTGTGTATCTTTCTTCCATTTCCTCCGTTCGCATAATGGTTTCCTGAATAATGAAATTAATTCTTGTCTTCGATGGAAATTTGCACCAATCGGAAGAATATCATTCTCGGTATCCAAATATCGAGCCGTAAATATTTGAAATGATAGCGACATATAAATGAGAGAAACGTATTGCCAAGTCGTATTGAATTTGTTACGCTTCGAGTGGCACCACACAGTATAGATACTCGGGGATCGCTTTGTGCACCATTATCGCAGGGCTGCAGTCTGTATTGTATATTCGTCGAGCCAACAGCTTGTTTCCCAGGGAACAACAGTTTTCAGTTAAACTCAGTTACAGTCTGCTCTCTCTCTCTCTCTCTCACCCATAAATATGACAAACCTCGACCGCAGCTGAATTTCGCTGTTAACGGAAAGGGGGATGGCCAGTCCGACCGGAAGTACCGCCATCCCAAAACTGAGCTGAAAGTGGATCAAGCCACGCAAACGGCCGAGACCATCGGCCACGAAACAAGCAACTTCACTTTGAGGGGCTTTGAAACTGTGCCTAACCGGTCACCCCCTACCCACCTCGAATACATTTTCCGGTCGAACGATCCATAGATTGTTTTATCGATTTCGATCTCCCATTGCAGTCCTTCCGGTCACCTAGAAAAACCATCGATTCGTCCTACCGGAAATTGCTCGTTCGCAAAAGCCCATCGGGATTTTCATACGGGATAGCTAGCGCGAGGTTGATCTTCCATTAATGTCAGCGCGGTACAAGCGACGGAGATGGATTAGCCCTCGAGCACGAATAAGTATTTGCGAATGCAAATGTGCTACCACGGGGGCCAATTCAAACTCCCGAAATCGCTGAAAATCGCTAGTCCCGCAAAATCACCCCCCACCCCTATTAGCATATAGGGTTTCGACGACTATCCCTCTGATCGCATCGATTTCTTACAGGTTTCTGGCTGCAAGAACAAAGGGAAGGTCTCTGGCGGCGAATGCGGTGGCGACGGAGCAGAAGGCCACCAAGGTGCTGGGTCTGGTGTTCTTCACGTTCGTCCTGTGCTGGGCACCGTTCTTCCTTCTGAACATCTTCTTCGCCGCGTGTCCCGAGTGCTCGGTGCCCGGCCACGTGGTGGACACCTGCCTTTGGCTGGGATACGTGTCATCCACCATCAATCCGATCATTTACACCATCTTCAATAGGACGTTCAGGGCTGCGTTTATCAGGCTGCTGAAGTGCAAGTGTTCCAGGTGAGTCGGTTCGGCACATTTAACGATGATAGATTATAGTGTACATAGATCGAATAGATTGTACTTTGGTAGAGACAGACACAAACTGGGTGTGTGATCGCATCGAGAATCATAATCGTTACTTTATACAGGATGTCTTCTGATCGATATTCCTCGTGCAAATACAAATCCTCCATTTCTGAGATATTAGCAGCGATTCCTCTTCGTTGATGCAACTTCCTGCAGAGATCAACCAAAACGTTTTCCAGGTCGGCGAGACCGGAGCGATATCGTTCGGTGACGGAAGGTGGACGGAACGCGATGAGCTTATGCACACCGACGGCACTTCCTTTGGCCATTAGTCTACAGACCACGTCGTTGTTGACGCAGACGCCGAATCCGACGGCGACACAGACGCCAGGAAACTCGTACGTGACGATGATCCATCGCTCGCCCGCAACCGTCTACCGGGACACACCGCCGGCATGAACGCTCTGTGTGTCCTCTGAATGATTTCTGTTATTAAACCCATCCCGTCGAGTGATCGCGTGTGAGTCGAGATACGAAGATATGGAAACGTAATTTACGTGAATTCGCCCGACTAATCGTTTGTTGCGAACAACAATATAGGAATCGTCGAGACCCCTGACCCCAGTTTTACCTCGCGCACGACTATTTCCCTCCTGCGTGTCCAAAATATGCTCAATCCTGGTAGAAAGCCAGCAAATGTACCGTGTTCATCTCCTCTGAAGCACGAACGAATATATCTGGATATGTGATATAGATTCGAATTACTTGCTGGAGAACTTTCTTACGATGTTTCTGTAGGAGATACAGGGGGATGGAGGAAATTGATACACGTTGTTGAACCAAAGACTATCGATTAAAGTTAAAGTGATAAGAAAAAAACGTAGAGTGGATCAAAAATATTGACGAAATAAACCGTACCTTTAATTAATAACGTCTGTTATCTTTCCCATTGAAACATAAAAAGAGTACATATACCCTTTAACAAAATAGTCCCGTACTTCCATGGCTGAGAAGAGAAACATTCCTCCGGTTTCGCCTTGATTTGTACTAACTTTTATTTGACAAATAAAAAGTATCCATTACAAATAATTGTAAACTGTATATCTTATATAGTACACGCATCGTGATTCGAGCGAGTTTGTATCTCTCTCTCTCCTTTTCGTTCACCCATATATCTTCATTATTACCTCGTACACTTTCTCGCTCTTTCTCTCCGTCTCGTTCAACCCTACGCGGGGGTGTCACGGTCACAACTTTTCTTTTTCCTCCCGCGTGGGGGTTTTCCATCTCCGCGGTCATTCACACCAACAGAAAACGCACCTAATTCTCTCCCTCTTACGCCTTTCGTGTGTGAGTGTTCAGGTGTGTTTAGCTGTGTATGCATGTCCGTTTCTACAATTGTGTCGAATGATCCTCGACAAGTGAAATTGTAGCCGGGGTGACTGGACAATATTTCCTTCTTCCGAGCAACACAATTTTCCAATGTTTATAAATCGATATATCAATAATAGCTTCGAACTCTAGCCATGTTGGAAGTCCTCCCATTCATCGAAATATGATTCATTCGATCATCGAGTCGACAACTAACAGAATCCAAACGGACGTGGATTCCTCTTTTGTAAAGAGTGGGGTTGGGGGGCTTCCTTCGTTAAACCTAAGAGATGGGAGTTGTTCCGAGGAACCATCTGTTCATTTGATTGAGATGCGTAAAAAAAGAAATGCCCTTTGTAAGTGTCAGCCTAGCGAGTAGGGACCTAGTTCTATCTTCTGTTTCTTTTTTTATTTCTTCCGTTTCCTTTACGGTTGCTCCGTGATAGGACCGGATGCAGTATCGGGGGACGGAGGAGAGAGAGAGGTATGGGATGCTACGAGATTTTCTCGGGGCACGGCGTTGATCTTAAGGAAAGGAAAGAGGAAAAGTTAGGTCGGCTTGTGGACTTCGTTCGCGGCACATCGGTACCGAAAATCCGTGATTCGGCGTTCAATCCTCGAAAGGGAACACCTGGACACCCTGCGTATCGTCTTGGACACTGAATTCTTGGAGATCGACATAACTGCACGAACGAAAAACAGTACTCTTTAGAGATTTTTGTTATCCGATTCTTAGTTGGAACGTGATACTTGAAACTGAAATAAACGACGACATCGAGATACTCTACGGGGTGTGTATCGCGGTGTTCCCATTTGGACCATTGTAGACCAGGTATTCGATGTTCGATACATTAAACTTTAACAACACTGAATACGAACACGCTCGTGTGACCAACGAAATCAATGAAATAAACGAAATTACCGAAAGTCGAGGTTTCATTAACACACACACACACACACACACTCACACACTCACTCTCTCTCTCTCTCCCTCTGTGTACCAGTTAGTACTCGTAAAATACAAAGGAGACTCTTTGCACGATTTTTGGAAAGCGTCGAGCACATTCATTGTTTTTAAAGTTTGACGTTTCGGTGGCGGGTTTCTTAAATGTTTAATTAATAAACTCTCTATGCACAGTGTCATACTTCGTTGCAAAAAATGTTCATTCTCTCCTTTCTTTCTTTTCGGATTTCCATCACGCCCGCGATTCGTCAGCCCGACGGTGTGTGTGTGCTCCTTCGCTTTCTCTTTCACGCTCTATTATGTAATCCTAGGACACTTAACGATACTACCGCGCGAAAAATTAAACGAACGCCCGGTTTACGCGCTCGATCTACGAATTAGGGTATCATTAGTACAAGAGACTTGGGGGAGGGAGTGGAATATAATTAATGCAAAATTATTCTTATTGATAATCGTACAGTAATAATAATGTAATAATAATGTAATAATAATGTAATAATAATAATCATGATGCAACAGCAGAAACGTGGTGGTACGTGGCGATTAAGGAAAGGGGAAAGGATATTTTTGTTAGTGGTGGTCGTTCGTTCTCCATTCTTTTCTTTAAGCATCTTGTTTTGTTTTTCGATTCTCTCTTGGTTTTTCTTTCTTTCTATGCATATATACAAAATTCCTTTCGAGTGTGCTACAGTAATCCTATCTCCGGTTTCGTCGTCTTTCTCCTCCTCTCTCGGCGCGGTTCCGTGTACCCTTCCTTTGATTTTGCCGTAACATTTTCCACTGATTCTTAGCTCATCGCGGCCCTTCGTAACCTATCGCTACGGAATCCACGAACAATTTTTACGATGGGGTTCACAGTTTCGTAAACGTGTGTGTGAGAAACACGTTAAATTGCATCTTGGAACGCTGCGTGGACACTTACGAATCTCTGTTTCGTAAGTCGATGCGAGACACGGATTGTCTCCGATCTATCATATTTCGTAGGGGATTCAAAAGCCAGTCGGTTGGTTCCCGTAGCGAGAGACCGAAGCGAAATACTAGACAATGATGTGTGCGCTTTAAAAGTCGTCACTCAGGAGGACCGTCGATTCAACGGCGTCGAGGATCCTCCGATTAAAAAGGGGAAACAAAAAATAATAAACGCGAGGGGGGGGGGGAAGTAAAGGGGATAAAGTGATTATCAAAGCTCGTCCGGAGCCGTCGACTAAAGTTATACGCGGTACAAAACGATCAAAAATATAGGGAAAAAAAGATAAGTAAGTGAAACGCGCGCGCATACGCGAGAACGATTTTTTTAAGCGTGCGAACAGTGCCTTCTTTTTTTTTTCTTTGGCCTTTTTCTTGGACGAGGACCGTAGATTCTCAAAAAGAGACAGGCGCGGAGTGTGATATCCTGCTTTTGTTTTTCTTGGTTGCGTCGATGGGTTCGTCGAATCGAATGGAAAGTAATAAATCTCTCCTGGTCGACGGAGTCTGGTCGACGTTTCTTCCTGAGAGAGGCTTTTTGTTCATCTGGCTACGCGTGAAGAGCATTTGCTGCTCCCGGCTCCTCGACGCGGGTGAAGAGTTCTGTGTTCATTGTATGGTTTCAGTTCCCACTTGTTTTCGCGCGAATATGCTTGCCCGTTCGCGAAGTATCCCTAAAAAAATTACAAACGCATCTTTGGCTCCCCCCGAATGCTTCTTTCCTCCCATGTCTTAATAATGGTCTGCATTCTCGTGCACGCTGCAACAGAAGAATCACATACTCGTTAGATCTTTCGATTAAATATGTCGATAAATCGCGAAGAAATCTACGACAGAATTCAGCAGTTGATCTCAACGCCCCAGCTACTTCTCTATCAACGCAAGGATCACGATATTTGTTCTCCTTTGCGCGATGAAAGAAGAACTCGCATACGCAGGTACTTCGCAAACTTTTCCTATGGATCTCTTATACTTTAATACAAGAATTTTATTTAGTCTACTTTATATTCGTCCTCGCTAACCTAGCCCCTGTTGTACACTGTACAGATAGATCAGACTATCACAAGGTGTATTATAACGCAACAACAACGTCGTGCGTGTTCGACGAGCAAAATGGATCCGCAGGGTTGATGTTAGTTCCAAAAGCAGGTGTGTCTCGGAAGCCGACGATCGCGAGTGCCTTCGTAGGATGATTAGTGATTCCTTGTTACATCGAAAGTAGAACAACAAAATCACTAGTCTTCCATACAACGGCACTCGATTAGTTCTCCCCATTGCGTTGATCTAGGCAAGATCTTCGCCATTCTACAGCGTATTCCTCCACAGGTCCACGTCGATCCCCGTCGCGCTCCTTCACCATCGCGCGTGGGTTACGTCCTTCTTTCGCTCTCGCCGGTCTTCGCTTGGTTAGTGGAATTAAAATGTTAATTCTTCGTGCAGGATGAAGAGATGACACGATGCGGCGCGCGGAGCAATTGCACAGCAAGCGGTATTAGTCGCCAGGCTGGCGTGAACTTGAGAATATGCTGATTAAATATGATGTATTATATCCGAGCATGACAAGCGAAGGATGTTAATGCGGACATTGACAATGGTTATCTGAGGCGGTTCTGCATTATGATGGAAATACTTGAACATTATCGATACAGTTTGACACAGTTTCATCGAGGTACTTGGTACCAGTGTGTGCTAGCGAATCCTACTATTTATTTTCAGAACCTACTTATTAGTTCCCCATTCTACGATAAAAAGATGAATTACGAAAATAAAGGCCCTCCTACTTCTTGTTCGACAATACTGACATATCTGTTAGATAATATTAATTTGCATTTCAGTGTCACGTCCAAGAAGATAACGTTTCAAATGCCGCAAGCGATAAAGTTGTCGATGCTAAGCTGAACCATTATTAGCTCTGACACGTTAGCTGCGTACTTTATTTCCTAAGCAAAGTTCCTGCGATCGAAGTGTGCTTCTAATCAGCGCAGATCGTCGACGCGGCGATATACGCGCACAGAATAGCGCGGACAATTACCTCTGCTGGAGCAGGTACTGGGCCATTTGTATCTGACTGGGTAATCCGGTAATGGTGATGATACGATCGTTACTACCGGTCAACGGCTCGTCTATAGTAATCCCGGCACCGCTGTCCGATCTGATTTTCCGGATCCTGGCGCCTCCCTTGCCGATAATGGCGCCGGCAAGCTGTCGACAAAGGGACCAGTTGAAAATCAGCACCACCGACATTCTCGGTGCAGTGTTGTCACAAAAGTAGAATCATCATGACCATGAACACTGCGGATCTCACTTCCTCCGCCTACTTACGTCTTTGGGAATGGTGACCTGGGTGCTGGTCTTGTTACCACCCATGTTTCCTTGATTTCCCTGATTATTCCCACCAATAGGTGGGCCACTCATTCCGGAATTACCACCGCCACCTAAACCATTTGGTGCTCCTCCTCCTTGTATACCCCAACCGTCTCCTGAACACAATATACGACAAATTAACATGACAAACCTGTACACCTCGCCTCGAACGAGTCGAGTCAGTAACTATAAACAAAGGGCGGTGATGACCATTTCGATGGGACAGGAACGGGGACCATTACCAACCAACAGCTGGGTTTATTTTTACTGACTTGTCTAGATTCTGATAAATCTGTTCAACCTCTAAATTCCGTACCGTTGTAATTTCCACCTCCATACGGCGGCGGGCCACCTCTGTTCCCTCCGTAACCACCTCGTCCGCCCTCGAAACTGCCTCCACCACCGCCACCGCTGCCACGATTACCTCCGTAGCCGCGATCAGGTGGTCCACCGGACATCCCACCACCTCCGCCACCACCGCCACGAGGGCCTCCCCTCGGCGGGGGCGGAAAGCCGCGGTTCATATCGCCTGGTCCGCCGCCGCGGTTGTCGCGTCTCGGTGGCATACCTCCACCGCCACCGCCGCCACCGCCGCCGCCGCCGCCGGCGCCTCCACCGCCACCGCCTCGGCCTCCTGGCCCCCCGAAACCGCCGCCTTTGCCCTGGCCGATGTCGCCGGTTCCATAGCCACCGTAATCGTCCGCGTAATAGTCGTCGAAGTTATGGGGATCGTAGGGGTTGTTCACACCTTTCAGAGGCGACTGAAGAGACAGAAATGAATTTCGTTAACGGTTTCTCACCGGCCGAGCATAAACACTCCGTTCCACGTGAGAAGGTACCTCTTCCGCGCAAGCTTCTTCCTTAACTGTATTTTTGCAGTGGGTACGCGGATAGAGATACGTACATACGGAAATCCGGTCCGCAAACGAGTCCTTTCTTCTCTCGTGGAATCTCGTGAATTCTAAGAGAAATCTCTATACTCACAGTTTTAATGGTGGCGATCAACTCGCGGATGCACTCGATGCAAGTAGTCGGCTTTCCGCAGATGCTGATTAGCCGGTCGGTGCTGTGGGGGCAGCAGTGCGAATAGATCTTGATCCTCGCACCGGTTTTCTACAACAGAAAGATCAATAATTCGGTCAGAGCGCGTGACTAGACTGTGGAAACGGCTTAAATACATATATCCTTAGAGGGGATGATGCTTTCGCGTCTTCCCCGGTGTTATCGAGTACCACCCGACGACGTGGCATCCCGGCGAAAGTGAAACCTCGTCGCGTTTCTGGGCTCGATAACTCGCGACTCGCGTAGTAAAAATGGCGATTGTCAGACGGCGATGTCCGGATCGCGTGCTTGTTAGCATCGTTGCGTTGGTTAGCAGCCAACACATCACCCCCTTCGTTCTCTAGATCGCACCCACAGAGACAGGGTGCAGTTAAAGGAGGCGAACGTTGGCCATTCGGTCGCCTTTAATCGCCTCTTGTCACTTTTAGTCATGTACACCGCGTGGCATAACTACAAAACCAGCCTGAAGTGTTCAATTCTTATGTACTTGTGGTTGAAAGAGAAACGAACCATTTTTTGTTCCAAGGAATATAATCCTATTCTGGAGAAACATTATTTCTCAACACGATTTCAGACATGGAGTATTTGGTTCATTTTTATGTTAACCGCAATAGATAAGAATTGAAAATTACAGGGTGATTTTATAGTTATGCAATGCAGTGTAGATCCCCGTTGGCCGTTCTCATTTTTCAAGAAACGTTCTAACGCAATTACCGTAACCCCCTCCCAAGGAGCTTCGCCACCCCGAGAAGAAATATCGCGTTGGGCAGTCGGTAATTAAAATTAGCGGACGCTCTAGGTGGTTCCTGGCGCACGAATATCCTCATTGACCTCGCGACTGCTTCCCAACTTGGACGACAACTTCGCCACCCCCCCCCCCCAAACCACTTTGCAAACTTCGAAGTGTGAGCTGTGTGTGTTTGTCGAGAGCGAACTACGAGGCGAGAAAATTGCGTCGCGTAATTTTCCACGTAGTTGGTTGTTATTATCCCGCGTGACGATAAGGGTGAGAGGGAGAGAGAGAGATCGTAACGGAATAGAATGGTAAGAGATCGTAAGGGAAGATTTAAAGATAAACGGATATACATATACCCCTGGTTGTTAGGGAGCTAATGACAGTAAGTATATACCCTCGATACCACGGCGGGCTCGATCGCCTCGAGTTGGACGAGATAATGAAAAGTCCGAAATAGTTTCTTGGAAACGACACACAACAACCCGGCCGATGACTAATCCGGTAAATTGAATTCGCTCGAAGTTTCGACGAGCCATCTGTCGTCGATCGATCGACCACCCAGGTTTTACCGCGATCTTCGCCGAGCAATCGAGTTCACGAAGTTTCCGCCTCGTTTGTAACGAAGAAGCTAGTCTTTCTTCTCAAAAGTTACAGCTATCCCTCCTTCTCCTCGTGCTTCAGAAGGCTAAAAAACGGTTCGAACGAAACAACAACACGCTGTGTATGTGTGTGTGCGCGCTTTCGAAACGCGGGCAAAAAGAAGGATCTATTCTGTGTGTTTCGAAGGAACAACGATTAACTTTTCTTTACGCTCGCGTGTCCCGTTCGTTACCTCTTCTTGAAACACGGTAAACCGTTCGAGCAGTGTATCGGTCATAGACCCAGTTCCTGATCAGTTTAATACATGTATAGATACCGTATAATAAGTTTCTTATAATGAAAGTTTCTTCCAACAAAACTACTAATTACCATTTCTGCACTCTTGTTAATACGAAATTAAAGATAAAACATAGATTCATTCGAGTAACAACAATTCTTGTAGATTTCGTTCATTTTTCTAACTTATACTGTTAAAAGAAACGGCGATGGTTACTCTTAAGTGATCAGGAATTGAACCTATTGTGTGAGAAGTTTTCTAACACCTGGTATTGTACTAACATTATTAATGAACCGGCTTTATGGATTGGGAAATGGATATACCGAGGAATTATCGCGGGATTTCCATTATTCGGATCACTGGAGCATCGACGAATCAATCGATGAATCGAGTTCTTAACAAAAAAAAAAAAAAGAAAAAAGAAGAATGGAAAGAAAAAAGCAATCAAAAGTGGCGTGTCTCGTTGGATTAACGAAGTATCAACGTTGTTCGATAAACTCGAGCGAGGCTTAATGGGCGGGCGTGCTCATCAGCCGCGGCGAAGCCTTTGTAAACATTTATTCGAGCGGAACGAAAGTAATTGCCGGAATTTTTGTTATTTTCCGCCCCACCCCTGTGAGTCCCGTCCAAAATGAACGCCGCGAACCATCGGGCACCGGTGTTAACAAATTGAATATCAACGGTGGTCCCGGATAGTTTAATCAAGAATTCATTGATCGAGACAACGCAATTCCATTCTGTGCAAATGACACCGCGCGCGTTCCTGCTGTACACGGTCATATCGAGCACCCATGAATTTTCATAAAATCATTATTCAAACGGGAGAGCCGAACTTTGTGAACCCCGAGGAAAAACTTAACTACGGCTTCCGTTCAGTCGGATTTAAGCCTCGATCAGCTGCGCCTCGAATAATCGACATTTCTTTTCCCTCGGCTCGTAGGATCGTACAGGCACGATCGATTGAATATCCAGGTGAGTTTCAGAGGATGATCACCGAAGATCTATCGAATTCTCGACAGTGAAACACGCGGAAGATTGAACTTATTGATGTTCTTGTTGAACGTGGGAAAGTAACTGATTTTCGAAATTAATATTAGATATAATTATCTGTATGAGAATTGTTTAATATTGAACCTAGCGTTGAATTAAGTATATCAAGTGTACACTATGAACTAAAAATAGGAGCCAGTAGTGTATAACAATTTTGTTCAGGTTCATTGCAATAATTTCGTTAAATGTCAAAATGCTTCGCTAAAACGACAGTGAAAGATGTATATATATATCGTGCGATCGATGTTCCCGGGAAACATTTCGAATTCTCGATCGCCGGAAACAGGCGGTAAGGCGTCACGGTGATGCAGCGTTATACGACTCTTGGTTTAGCCTCGAGCTAAAAAAACGGGCTTGACTTCGAGCTGTTAAAAATCGAGGAAAACAATTTTTCCACGTTCGACTGAAATATTTCACTCTCGTAGAAAGAAACGCAGGCCGCACGCGATCGAAAGAGACGCGCGTGCAGTAAAAAAAATCCAGCTTTCGCGGGAGGGCAAAAGAGGAGAAGAACTCTCGTCTGTTGTGGCTTCGTTCGAGCAACCATCGAGATGGCCCCGAAAAGAGTCGCTTTTCTTCCGGTGTTAGATGTTCAACGATATATCCCGTGGACTGTTTTCCCTTTCAAAACGGGTCGCGCGCAATGTTATCGCGATCGAGAGACTTTGGAATAGATATTCAACATAGATTTTAAACGTCCGCGAAATTCCATCTCGTTTCGTTCTTTGGTTTCTTTCGTTTCTTTCGTACGATCGATACAAATCAGGCTCCCTCCTTTTCGACAGATTCTTCTCGCCCGTAGATCGCAACACAGGCCATTTTGTGAAGCAGCTTGAAAAGATGTCGAAGGTCTACTCAGCGAACGAGGTGGCCAGGCACAATCAGGAGAACGATCTCTGGATCGTGTACAAGGACGGTGTGTACGACGTGACGAAGTTTCTGAAGGAACACCCGGGTGGGGAGGAAGTGTTAATCGAGCTAGGCGGAAGGGACGCGACCAAGTGCTTCGATGACATCGGGCATACGATCGAAGCCGTACAACTGCGTGAGACTTACAAGATCGGGACTGTGACTGGTTTCGTTTCTGGAGAGCCAACCGGTTCCAGTGGTACGGTACTCAATAATCATAATAAAAACAAAACGGTGTCACTGTTACGTAGTGCATACTAAAGACAGACGTAAACAGATATCGGTAAGTTTAATTCAACCCTTTAACTCCGAGTGTTGTATCGGTGCAACGCCCATTTTAAAAATGCGTCAATTTCTGTCACCGGTTAATATATAACTTTTGTTAGTGAAGATCCGCAATTTCAGATACGTCTAGGAATCGAATGTCCTTGAATGTCAAAAGCACCAGAATGGAAGACTGCTCTAATTTCATTAAATAGCGCATCATTTGTGTGATTCTGAAACATTCACGATTGTATTAATGAAGTATTATTTGTTGCCGTTAGGAGGTGTGCAGGACACGACCATAGACGACGACAATTGGGAGTACACGCCGCCACAATATGGAACATCCCACTGGCTTCCGGTGATCATCGGAACCGGCGTCGCCATTTACGCCTTTCTATTCTACTACCTTTGGTTCTAGTATTTAGATTATCGAAACGCCCGCTAGATCGACGCACGATATGTACAATCGCGAAAAATAAAATTCTTTATTTATACCGAGATACCTGTATTCACCTCTCAAAATCGATTGTTTTGCTTCGACAGAATGGTAAGTAAGGTGTACATCGAGATCGCCCGGTAGATTAAAACGATAAACGAATGATATCCGCGTGTTTGTTGCTCGAAGCTATTTTAATAAGTAACTCGAGAGTAATATTGCACTGTTACGGAATCGTTTCGTCCTTGAGATACGATTATGTACACGCGGTTATCGGTAAAGGCGATTAATGTTTCCATACGGATTTCGAATCGCGATCGAATAATCGTTTCGGACAATAATGCATCGAAATCGATCAATCAGCGACATATTTCTCTACAAAAGATCAAAGATCATTGATCGAACAACACTTGAGAAAGGAGGAACTGTAGCGCGCAAATAACATGACCAAAACGCACTGGAGGCAAAGGCGGTTGTTCGGTTAAAAATCCGTTATCCAGAAATGTATCTTCCCGCGGCGATCTTCGCCGAGCTTCGGCCGGAACTTTGCTGGTACAGTCGGTACCGATGTGAACAGCGAGAAAACAAGCAAGGAGAGACCCAGCTCGTCACCGTGACTAGGCAGTTTCGAAAGAGCGACAGCCACGTTCGATTTAACACTTCATCGTATTATCCGACGATGACATTTTTGTTTTTTATTACAACGTATCTACCCAGATCTCTCGATGCACGATAACAATTCTATCGAACGGAATTACAAACAACGCGTTCATCGAACGAAACTCCGTCGAAATTGAAATGTGTAATTTCCCGCGTTGCGACGTCTAAACTAGACACGAATACGTCCAATCGAATGATTGTGGAATCGCGAAGAGTGACGTCAGCACCGCCGGGCATGTTAATCAAAGCCGCATTCACATCGAGATGGCGGTGTATCACGGTCAGCGCGTTGCATTCGCGTCGAATTGCAGTCTCTCGACCAATGTAGCCGCGCATACGATGATGCACCACGTTCGCGATCAATACCCTGCTGCAAGTCCGTTGATTTCGTGAATGGTTACCGAGAGAGTTCACGAGAAGAATTAATCATTTTATTCCACGATGCTTTCGTTGGAATTACGAACTAGTTGAACCTATTCGGAGAGAACCGTTGGTCGGTACGACGAAAAAAAATTTAACGACGATTATTTCTTCTCGCGCCACCGCTCCGTTACCGCGGTTCTTGCAGCTGGCAGTAAAACTCGAAAGGGTCGCGCGGGGTACGGAAAATGAGACGAGGTTCTACTGTCCGAATAGGTAATTTCTTTGTTATCATCGTGTGTTCGTGGTCTGCGCAACATAGTCATCGTCGACACGATTCGTAATCTTATCGAACCGGAATTTTGCCTAGCATTTATTTATTTATAGATCGTAAAATCGCGCGTAATAACGTATGGTTCGGTGTGCCACGAGGTCGTTCGGTCGTTAAATTGTTAGAGAAGACCGAAGCCGATGAATGCGCCTCGCCGCGAGATTGCGAGTGTAGTTTTCTTTATTGCGGGGCGTAAATACTGATGAAAGTAGGAGGAAAAGAGGGAGGGAGCGAGGGAGAGAAATAAAAATTGGTTGGTCGCGGGCCTAGAAGGAAACAATCCGCGTGTAGAGAACGGTGATAAGACATGACGGCGACGATGATAATAAGAGGTTCGAAGCGATAACCACCATGCGGCTGTGTTCGGTGGCCGCACGCGTTTGTGAATGTGGATAGAATTGTACTGGTCTATTTTCGATTCGATAAACACGGAATATAGAATTCATCGGTGCCGTTCAAGGTGTACATTATTCGTATATGTATAGCGAAATCTTTCCAAGCACAAAATTCAACCGAAATCTTTTACGTAGATCCACTGTTGAGCGACCAACACCTGTGGTACCTATCGACTTTGTTTCACTCTATGAATAACTGCGACCCCGCTGCTCTGTCCTAAACAGCGTAGTCACCCTTATTTTGCCCAAAGTCCGAACATGCGCTTGCTCATACTGTACTGAAAATGAAGCCCACAAGCAGCTTCTCCTTACCACAGAGCTCTAATATACATGACACTCCTACACAATTTCACAAAGAGTTCAGAACTAATTGCAACGTTGTTAATTACACTCTTACGATAATCGGATACGGATCATCGAACAACAAACCCTTTCACCAAGATTTTTTCAAAGTATTGCAATCGATTCCGCGACTCCGAATCCAACACCACACAGACTGTATCTATTTTTGGTGCATATGTTCCGGAAACTGTTACTCATTAACGTTGTCCAGAAGCGAAATTACTTTAAGCGAGTCGTCGTACCCACACAACGTCTAAATTCGACAGAACAATCCAAAAGCAAACAATCCGGGGGATCGTAGTAGTTCAGATATTGAACTTCGCGTTCCATGATCTCGTCCCATCGCTCTCAGCGCAGAGAGCAACCGGCCGCGCGCGCGCGCGCTCGAGTGGGAGCGCTGAAGATGATAAGGGGGGCCCCGTGGTGGGGAAGGATCTAGAGGGGGCGAGGATAAAGCTACTACGGTCCGACCTGGATCGTGCAGTGTGTTTGTACCCAGTGTTGGCTCGCGAACAGAGGAGACATCTCTCCCCGTAGTAATCTGGACAGTTTTTGGATCATCGTTCGTTCCTCTTTCTCTCGTACAGTCAGAACACGGACAGAGGAATTCGGAGAATCGAGAAGCCAATCGAGTCGACGATATCAAGAGCAGTGCCGTTTCGTAGCCGACACGTAGGCGAGAAGGTACGTGAGGCGAAGAGTTTAAAAGGAGGAGGAGTAACGTGGTCTCGCGGTAGTGAATTTATAATGGGGGATGTGGGACACGAGAAGAGAGAAAGAGAAAGAGAAAGAGAAAGAGAAAGAGAGAGATCATGTTGTGGCCAGTGTAGCACAAAGATAATTCCCTTGGCCACGAGAGAACCTCGCGAATGCCCCACTGGTTGGATCACGCCAGAATGGCGCTTCGATCGCCACTGGAGCGAGTCTCCGAGAGATCTCGATCTGCTTCGCGCCGTTCGCTTGCTTGTCTCCTCTTTCGTTCGCAGTTATCGATTATAAACTTTCCAGCTTCTCTCGAAATATTCGAAACACTAAATGATATTCGATGGTGAATAGATGTCTGATTACCTTGTTCGAGATACATGTAGTTAGGAGGAACGTGTTTTACATGATGCTTGCTTCGATAAAAACAAATACTGTCTTTTTATGTATTACTTGTACACTCGGACACACCTTTATAACGGTCCTCGGAGTCTAGGCGAAATGTAAACACATTCTGTAACGAGTATTTTGCTAATGGAAGGGATACAGTGTCTGGTGGTGTCAACATACTCGTGTTTCGGTCGCTGGAATGTAAAGAGGCGACAAAAACGTCGGTGCTTGTGCTTCCTTTTTTTTTTCCAGAGCTTAAAATGGAGATTCAGCTCCTGAAGCGGAGGGCTTATGAAGGTTATCGATTTCATGTTCACACTCTGTACAGTTTCCATTCGCTGCATCAACCGATCTTCTAAGTGATCTAAGTTAATCGTGCTGCCACCACACACCGTAGCCAGAAAACTCAAGAATCATCTTGCAACGCATGCGTGGCCATTTACGTAATAATCTCGACGACCTCCGTGTAATTACGGTTGATATGTTGCGATCCATATCCAAGTCATCCCAACATTGTCGTCCAACTACTCCAGAAATAGTGCTCTCAGCGTTCGGGATATTACATCCTAGATTCTTGCTTGCAAACAACAATGTCCTGACCATTCTCTCACTATGAACCGCTAGATTAATCGATTCTATCCATCTGCGTCGAGTGAATCGCGATATCATTTCTTAAAAGACCCACTCCAACCATGAATACTCGAGCCTCACTTTGTAGCAATATCTGCGTTTATAAATATACGTTTCCCTCGGGAGTTCTCCATTCACTGTTCCATATTTCCTAGTTATGTACAATGCATCCATTTTTCCTTCACCGAACATTTTCGTCCGAGCGATGAATTAGCAAAGTCACCTGAATAAAGTTCTGGTCACGTATACCTAACTCTTGCCTATCTAACGCTGAATGTTAAAGCAGTTACGATAAACGGTCACCACCGCGATAAACCGACTCCTTATCTATGTCCGTATCGCGTTGTTTATCATCTTTCTGCGACATTGGCGATCGATCGTTATATAACAATAAAACGGTCGAGTTGGATAGTCGTTTATCGGTGTCGCGAATAAAGCCTCCCGAAACAGGATCAATAAACTCGAGAAATAATCCGCATTGACAACAAGCGGAGCCACGATAAAATCGCTCCCCTCGGGTGGGTATCGGTTATTTGTCCCGAAAGGAACGCGTACTACCCCCGCTGACTGACAGAATAAACAAGATACCGACACGCCAGGAGCCGTATCGATTCAACGCTCCGCAAACACCGAATTAACATTCCGATCGATACTCGTGGGCGTCCCCGTTCCGTTGCTCTTTTCCAACCAGATCGAATTTTTCACAACTCCGTTACAAGAAACATTTTACCCTCCTATTACGAGTTACGTTTAACACTCTCGTCGGCTCGTCGGTTGGATCGCGCCAATAAAGATCTGCTATATCATTCCCCGCGACGCCATCTACACATAAATAATCAAGGACTAAACGTGACTCGACTCTTTCATCTAGCTGCGTACACGTTTACCGCCACACAACAGAATAATCGTTAACTTTCTGTGCAATCGTTCGACACACGCAGCCTGTAACTATCCAACCAGTTAGGCAACAAAGACTCTTCATGCATAATGAGATTGATTAATATTTTGGTTAATCATGAGTATCTAGAAGATCCTATCCACCCAAAGATCCTACGGCAGGTGACAAATTCATAGTACGACGGGACCGTTTTATTCAACGGATGGTTTGCTGCAAAATAGCTTTCGTTATCCAACACACGGGGACCTCTAACCCTCTATCTATATCCCTGAAAACTAACAGTCGTTATTTCTTCATTCACAGATTTCACCAAGCGAAGCTCAGACCACCGAGATTCAAGAATGAGCAAGCAGTACACAAGGAACGAGGTCGCGACCGCCACCGGCAAGGAGAAGACCCTGATAATCCTTCACGACAAGGTTTACGACGTCACGAGCTTCCTGAACGAGCATCCGGGCGGCGAGGAGATCCTGTTGGATCACAGCGGCAAGGACGGCTCGGACGATTTCGACGATGTCGGTCACTCGAACGACGCCTTCGAGCTTATGAAGAAGTTCGTGGTCGGCGAGCTGAACGACGCTGAGAAGAGCCACAGGAAGCCGAAGGCCGCCTGGACGAGCGATTACGCAAAATCGCAGGGCACCAAGAAAGACGAGGGGATGAATCCTATGTTGCTGATCGCTGTCGTGGTCGTATTCCTCGCGATCTTGTATTTCGTGTACTTATAGTTCTCCGATCCGTGGGAGACCGACCCTATTCCGTGTCAGGATCGATCGTGATTGCGAGTAGAACACAGCGCGTGTGTGGCCGTTGACGATCGAGGACCCCCGATCTGTGATTTCAATGACATTCTATCCGCATTTTTTTTTCTTTCCACCTCGATCAAAGAGCGTAGGGGCACGCACGATTAGTCGAGGTGCCAAGCTGAGATTGTGGGATGGTGCGCGGTGTGAAGATGATCCTGCATCGAATGCGTTATTTTATCTTGGAGCGGTTATCAAGACTTCGATACCTAACTTTTATGAATGGGAATATGCTCGGAGGAATGATCGTCTCTTTGTATCTTGTTATTTTGTAATTTAGTGCGGGTGTGCTTGCTCGACGAGAAGCGTTTCAAAAAAATATATGCATTTAAATGCAACACGAGTATCAATTTCTTTCTCATTCGGTTCACTCTTTATTGCAATCGTCCGATATCTGCTGTTTCCGTTTGTAATTCAAACATCGTCGATTATACATCCTTTTCGCCGAGTGTACACTTATTTCGAGCTGTAATTTTCTTAAGTTTGACAAAGAGAGCCCAAGGATGAAGTAAGGCCGCGTTGGCCCCGAAGACAAACGTGCTGATCGATCGATCGATCGCATAAAATCGAAGAATGGGGCGCGTCGATTAACTCCGTTAACACCTCCGTTCGAACCGCAGATTTCTCTCGAGACGGCGCGGCGTTTTAATTGTCAAATCGGAACGAAGAAACCGTAAAAGGAATTTACATCCGAATGGACTCGCATTACAGAAGTCCTCGTTACAAGTTTTCAATGAGCGGAGACGGCTCCCCAGGAAAGCGAACACGCGATTCGATCGATAGGATTCTGCGTTGACTCCAGGACCAACCTCACTCGCGAGACGTTCTCTTTGCCATTAGAATTGTCCCTCGAAATGTCGCTAACGCCTCGAATATTCGTCGTTGGGAACGAATTGGACGCAACGGGTCACGTCCCGCGATCGCAATTAATTCGAATAGACGAGCTCTCGCGACTGGGTTCGACAGCGTCGAATGCAAATTACAAGGTACACAACGGAGAGATAGTCCACTCGACGATGCTTATTTTCGCGGCCGTTTTACCGTCGATCGAATTAGACAATTCTCGGGTTGCAGACAGTTCGAAGACGTAAAGTTGAGAAGAAATCAAAGGTAACGAGAGAGAAAAAAAACTGAATTAACGAGATGTGGGGGCCCGAACAGTCGGCGTCAACTGGAGCGCGAGAATTTAACAACGTGAGGTCGAAAAGGGGTGAAAATCGGAAAGGGTGCGCGCAGGGGACGGGATTGGCCGCGAAGACACGACCGGTCTCGCTTCAGTGTGGTCTGGTTTTTTCCAAGATTCTCCCAAGCACCACTGTGTAAAATCATCCAAAATCGAAATAGTACTGTCAAACAAAATCACGAAGATGCTGTTAATGCAAAATTTCTATACCGAAGTGCTTTTTTCTTAGTATGATACATTCCAAAAAATAAACACACTACCTGCTAAAAGTCTGGGACGGTGTATCACGCTATAAACAATCGCAGAGCGGAATGCCACTCTTCTCTGACGCGACTTTGCCGTTCACGAAACTGGAAGGACCGTGCGCACGCGGCAATAAGTAATTGAATTTCCTCGAGCAAATAGAGACGGCCCCGATGAACCGTGAACGTAAACAGGTTCGAACCTCCCGTGCCTCCCCTCTTCGCGGGAAGGTAGAAAGGTAAAAGCTTCCGAGAAAAATAAGGATAATTGAGGAACGACGACAGGGGTCGCTTTGAAAACGATATCGGAAGACGGAAACAATTCAACCAATGTCATCGACCGGGATGCTTAACAATTTCTTTCAACCCTTTGAGACACAAAGAATCCGGCTTCGTCGATCGAGAACAACAAGTCTCTCTGTTGGTTGATTGAATGCTCGAGAGAAATAGAGTGCCTTTCATCCTCCTAAACCTCGTGTATTGCGAAATGAAGAGATAGTACAATTAACACTAGAACTACCGATGATGAACGTACGGTAATCGCAGGTTTGAACCATGCTCTAGGTTGGATATAGGTTGACCATCACTGTAATTTGCCATGTGTGAGCAATTCCCGCCGTATGATAGATAATATACATATACGTTGCTTGTACAGGTACTAAGTTAGTGTAATTCAGTCATCAGTATCATACACATATTTCTTTCCCTATCAGAGTTGGGCATAATTTTATTCGAATAATACGCAGTGAAAAGCAGCAGTATCTAAGAGTTATAAGCTTTCAACAGTTAACGCGATTAAATAATTGTTTGCCAAATGTCGACTCATTCAAGAATATATATTATTTTATCATGAAAATTGGAATTTCCACGTTTGAACGATTAAAAATGACGAAGTACTTTCTTGTCTTTTATTCGTTATTCGAAACTCTTGATCTAGATAATGTGAATTTGCCCACCTCTATCCCTGGTGATTTGCCCACCTCTATCCAAAATCTGTGAAAATGCATGTTGCAACAGTTTGATTCTCGTTACAAGAGTGTACCAACCAGTAATTTCGACTGCTTTGGTAGTTTCATTGTTACAAGGGTATGTTCGGGACAATGGTACATACACAACTATTCGTCTTACCAGTGAACGTTGTCAGTCAGCCATTTTTAGCGCCGTTGATCACAATACAGTCGATGTCGAAGATCGTAACGCAATCGCGAGTGAAAGGGTCGAAGAAGCTTGCACGAAACCATACGGAGAGCTCAGCTCGCTTTCGTCCAATTACCACGGACCATGTTGCGTGAACAAAAGAGTGCGCACAACGTGCAGAATTTTCCCGACACCTGTGGCCGAATGCAACGATGCATACACACATTCACCTTCCCCCTAGCCCCTCTGGTGGCGCTAATTGCCACATTCTCGCGTCACTGTCCGCCGATCCACGCGAACCACCCCCCTCCCCCCGTGGTGTCCTCTTCTTCCTGTTGGAAAGTGGCCGGTGCTGCGGTTAATCATCGCAAGCGTGACTTCCTGGCTACCAGTTTCGACGCGGTCCTGCTTTCTTCTCGTGGATGCGGTTTACCGTGGTGGGGGAAGCAGAGTGAGTGGTGTGACACATGTGGAAAGCCACATACCCTTCCTGTCGAGCCGTCCGTTCACCATCTGCCCTTCGCGGCGGCCACTTCCGGTTCCCTCCGTCAACCGAACACACTCTTCCAGCCACCCCCTCTTTCACGCCTTCCACTTCCCCCGATCCGGTTAGCTTCTTGCCCGTTCCTCGTTACGCTTCACATTACGCGATTATCATGTTCAGTTTCAGGTAATGGCTGTACTAACCCCACTGGACTTTGATGTATTTATACTCGATTGTCTAGCGTTCGGTACACATGGTTTAAAAAAGGGAGTGAGGAGGGGAGGTAGTAAAGTCTAATAAAAATTCCTAATTTACGACTTACAAAGAGTAGAAAGATTCGTTTGCTCCCGTTGTAGCTCGTCTGTTTGAAAATCCATGGTAACTGCGCCAACGTCTACCTAAACGATCGCGAAGACACAACTTTTCAGAGATTATGTGTATATTAAAACTAACGCGAGTCTTTTAAAGGATCTCGAGAGAGAACTCCAGCCAACGAATGTTCGAAAAACAAATCTGACTCCCTTTTCCTCTACTTCGTCCAGGAATCAGCCGTAACTTTTTAACGTCTGAGCGTTTCGAACTTCGTCCCCGGTCAAGCGAATTGCTCCCACCCCCTCCACCACACCAGTCGAGGAGGCCTGGCGAGGCAATATTCGAGCATGACTTCTCTCGTTCCTTTAAATTAATTTGAAATTCCTTTTAGCCACTCGCCGACTCTGATTTCAATGGGATGCAGCAACGAGAGACCTCGAGTGTTCCTCCCCCCCTCGACAAATGAAGGGCGATGGGGTTGTGGGGTGGGGGAATAACCGGGTACAACCCCGCGTCAACCCCCACACCCTCGAAAACCGGTCAAGAAAATGAGAAGAACACAAAAGAAGGAAACGAAACGCACAGACGTCAGAGGCTGGATATAACGAGTTTTCGAGAGAGTTTCGTTGCTATTTACCGTACCCACCATCAGGATCGCTCTCTTCTCTCTCTGCCACCCCTGATTGCTTCGTTCTCCTCAACAGGTCGGAATACAAGCACTTTTTTCCCAATTCGTTTTCGATAGAACGCTTTAACGGAACGTCATAACGAGACATCGTTTCCTGCGACGTCGACGAGAAATGAACTCGATCGGCATATAAAGAAAGAGAGAGAAAAAGAAGGGGAGGGAGGGAGGGAGGGAGGGAGAGAGAGAGAGAGAGAGAGAGAGAGAGAGAGAGAGAGAGAGAGCAGGTGATAATAGGTGCACGAAAAAAGGGGGAAACGTTTCGTTGATTCCATCGATTCCGATACACAACGAACAGGGGAGTTTGCTCTTGACGTTTTCCCAGTCGTTCGAGCCTTCGGATGAATTTGGAATACTTTCGTGGGGATTACAATTTATCGGATCGAATTTCGGTATTTCTCCACAAGCTGCAAGGGAAGGGGGAGGAGATTGGGGTTGGAAACCCTACGAAATTTCTCCGTGTGCTCGGAACACGGTAGGAAGCATCCTCGTGGACAGTCTAATATCGCTAAAAGCTTTTTAATAAACAGTCTTCGAGCACGTCGTCGGTGCGGCTGGCTGGTTACGTAAGAATACGAGGGGGTTGCGGGATGGGGTGTCTTCTCGCGGGAATCTCATCCCCTTCGTAGTAAGCACGACGAACAAGGGGACGGAAGATATTCAATGGGAAGACGTTGCCGGGGCACCGGAAGAACGAAAGGGGAAAGAGAAATTTTCGGAGAGCATCGAAGGTATCCAAGAGAGAGTTGAGGCGACGAAAGATGGAATTAAGTAAGGGGGTTGTGATCTCGGCGGAAAGAGAAATTCCGGCGAAGCAAGATGAAAATAAATAGAAATTAGGTAGAGATTACAAAGAAGTAGACGGGTCGAATGAAAGTTTCCGCGAAACATCCGCAAGAATTGTCTCTCGGTAACCGCACAAGGGTAGAAGGAAAGGGTTAAATGGGGGGAACGACAGGGGTTGGAAACAAAGAGAGCATTAGAGTGTGATAGACAAAATTTCCAGAAAAGAAAGAAGAGAAAAACCGACGAGGACGACCAAAGACGAGCTAAGAGAAGAAAATTAGTAACCAAGAGAACCAGTCGGTGGGGGTGGAGAGGGGGAATGCTAAGCAAGGCAAAGAAAGGCGATGGCAGCGGGGGAAGAAAATCATAAACGCGAAGAAGAAGACACGAAAAGAACGGAACGACCGAAGGAAATACGAGCCACTAGTTTACCTTTCGCGAACCACCGCCGTAAGGGAGGCAGAGGGGGGATAGAATGTATGAAAATGTA